ATCATGTTTTTTTAACTCGATAACAGCTTCAGTTATACCTAGATTAATCAAGTTTTCATCTTTCATTTGTTTTCGTTTAATCAAAACCTTCGACTTTGAAAGACAATCAAAATCAATGCACCCAATTGATGATTGAATAAAAATCAGTAACTGGAACCTGAATACCAACGTTGACCTTGGTACGAAAAGAAGGCTTCTGAAACTTATGGTATGTTCATAGGAAGGAAGTGCCGCTAGAAAATAAAATTCACTAGAAAAATAACATTATAAATATCCTTAAATTCAAATCCTTCTGATATTCAACAAGTATTCTACTCAAATTAAAACTCTGAGACATAGTTAGCAAGAATCTAGGAAACTTGCGTGCATATTGGGGTGAAGAAACTAGATACAGTAAAGAGATATGTTAAAGGTTATGGCAAAATATGTAATTTAGGTACATTACAATGGGTTAATTAAAATACACATGACACCAAAATTGTCGGAGAATGTTTAATCAAATTGTTAAATTGAACAGATGTTTAATCTAAGAAGCCTAAAAATGAGGGGTCTATATCAAAACGTCCCAATAAAAAATTAAGAAGAGAGAAGAAGGTTTCACGTCATGTTGATTCTCTTTCATCTGCAAAACCTAGTCTCCTCATCGAATATCTAAATTCAACAAATCCAAATAAAACCGTATTAACTTTACACATACAATTTTATTCAAATCTTTTGTCAATAATATTCAAACCCAGTTAGTTCCAAGGCACCAAAATTGAGATTGTGTTGTTTTGAAAATTGGAAACCTTTCTTCTTGTATGCATGAACCCTTTTTTATATGAAATTTTCCGACAGTGGTGAAAATTTTGAAACAAATCCTTTCCCCCTTTCATAAGCAAAAAACAAAAACCAAAAATCTCAGGGGGGGGAGAAGGGGAGTGAACGATCGCAAGAGAGATGGAGAGAGGAAGGAGATGTGGAGAAGAGAGATGGTAGGTGAAGAAGACGGAAGGTTTTACGTTTTTCATTTAATCACTTAGTATAATTATTATGTTTCGTGTAACAAGAATGATTTTTAAGTTTATAACTTAACCTACCATAAGATTTATCCGAAGCTCGTATGAAAAAGGACCTCACATGTCCTCTAAATAAAGACTTTAGGAGAGTAGTTTTGTCTAATAAAATATCACAATTATTTCAACAAGTGGCATAATGTTAGGCAACACCGGTGAAACTTAGTTTCTTCCAAACGTTGTGCAAATATAATAGTTAGGGCTTTGTATTGAAAAAAAAAATATAAAGAACAAATAAATATTGTTAAGGGTTCAGTGGTGTGGTTTATTATTTTGTTATCGATTAAAAAAAAGAAGAAAAAAGCCGAGCTATTTTTATGATTTTACGATTTTATGTGACAACTCGTCCTTAATTTTACGATTTTATTAATTTTGAATGAGGGAATTGATGAAAACGTCCTTAGAGACGAGAATATTGACTTTCGTTAACCGTCATTTCGTGACGCATATGGGTTATTATTTTATCGTATCTCGAAATATGCAACGGTACGAACGTGTAGGCGCAAACGGAATTGAAATCGGAGTTACGATGAAGATTTTATGGAGCTACGCATCAAAGAAATACTTTTGTGAAAAAGTACTATTTTATATTTTATATATTTTTCGAATTATTATATTGTTATTTTAATATTTTTTGTTTGAATATTTTAAATATTATATTAATTTATATTTAGCCTGTGGGACCCACAATCACACCAAGTCACCACTCCCTCTCTCCCGCATGGCTTCCCCTCTTAATTCTTTCAAACACTCTCTCTTCCCTCTATCTTCTTCCTCAGCTGTCTCTTCCTCTGCAAACATTAGTGCCTAGACCATCACCAGCACACTCCCACTCCGACGAGCACTACCACCACAACCCCAACTATCACCTCGTTTCACATCTCTTTCCCCGAGCCTATAGATTCAAACTAAACCCTCAGGCTTGCACGTAAACCAGGGAAACTAAGGATAGAGAACTTCGACGAGTTCTCAGATTTTCCGACCGAGGTAAGACTCGAAATACCTTCGATCTCTTCCTCTTTGACGTGTTGAGTTGATCTTTTGAGTTGTGCACATGTTTTGGTGACGATTTGGTGCAGAAACCAACTCTAGGAAACTTCCAGTTTTCCGGTGGAGACTTAACGGTTTTCGAGCCATTTTCCAGCCAACTCCGGCCACGACCGAAGAAACCAAGGTTATAATTCAATCCCTTGTTCTTTGATCTTGATTTTGGTATATTACTTGGATAGGTTTGGTGAAGTTTTCAGTTAGTCGGAACCGGGATTTACTCTGGCCATTTCATTCCCAGATTCCGACAGTTGCAGTGACAATCGGCCGGAGAAGAAGAAGAAGAAAAAAAAAAAAAAAAGGCTTTAGGCCCAAAGCCTGGTCCAAGTCCTTGGCCCAAACCTTTGGACTGATGTTTTAGGCCAACCAAGTTTCAAAATGGGCTCATAATATTCTGGGAATATTCTTTGGAATATTCCTTAGGTTGATTTTTTCGGAATTTTCTCGGAAACCCTCCTAGGCTAATTTTGACGCCCCGAGTTCGTTTTTGACATCCATTTAGTAAAATCCCAAAGTTTTGACGTAGTTGATCATCAAGGCATCTTTATTGACTTTTTAGGGTTGACCGTTGACTTTTTACAAAATTTGCTGAGGACCTTCCTTAGCGTATTTCGATGCCCTGATTCAAAATCCGCACTCCATTTTCCCAAATTTAATTGTCTTAGTGGAGTTTTACTAACGGATCCCAATATTATGCTTAGGTACGATTACTATTGTAGGCTCCAGCTTCTCACGTTCGAACGACTACTTTTTTGCAAGTATCTGTGAGTGGGTCTTTTCTTTTATATATAGTGTGTGTGTGTGTGTGTGTGTATATATATATATATAATTGTTAGTTTCCATTTATACATTTCATAAAGAGTTTTCTACAATACGCCTAGATTAGCTTGATGTTTATAAGTTTTAGCACATTGATAGAAATTATGACGTTATGATGCATCCTACAGGATGCACATGTATGCGTATTATTATTATTGATGGCTTAGTTATATTTGTGGACATGAATAATATTATGTTGACTAGAATTATCAAATCATTGTGGCATGATTATATTTATATTATCTGCTCATCGTTGCTACACCGGTGTTAGTACTCACCCAGATCAGGGCCAGTCTTTCAAGTGTATGTGCACATCGCATCGTACGCTCACTTTGGATCCACTATAGGTGCCAGTCCTGTCCTAGATTGCTATAGGCAATTAGGACTTGTATGTGTTGCACATAGCGCCAATCTTCCCATGATTGTAGTACTAAAGTGTATATCATTGTTACACCCAATTCTGTTCATGTCAGAATATCTTTGCATGAACTCATGTGTTAGCATATGTCGATGAGCACTCGATATGAGATGTTTACTTATACGAGATTATGTTGATTACGAAGTCATGTGTTTACTTATGAAATATTGAGCCATATTGAATTCTTGAGATATTTCAGGTGACGGTAAGTATTTTCACACAATATGTAGTATGTATATTTTGGAAATTGTACTTGTTTTACGGAGAGGGGTTATAATGTTTTCAAAAAGGTTTTTATAAAACTTTATTTTTAGGCTCACTCACCCTTGTTTTTCTCCCCTCCAGGTTTTAGCAGCTGAACTTTCATATCGACAAGGATTCTTGGCAAATCTGGTATTGGAGACTACCTCTGATGGTATAATTCTCAATCCACTCTGCTATACTTTACTTATGCTTTGACATCACGTGTGAAATTGGTTCATTCCCGCTCACCAGCGCACTCTTGTGTTTAGGCACTTTTAGGTTTAAATTTAGTCATATTTTTCACATCACTACACTTTATAGCTTCATCACCCTTTTTGTGTCAGAGTATGTTGTAATTGTTTTTTATTTAAATTCTAATTCATGGAAGTTTTCATCTACTAGAGAGCAAATAAAATATTGTAAAAGGGTTTAGTGGTTTAGTTATTGGATTAGGTAATGTTAGGAAAACTTAGATATAATTCTTTAAATTAAATGATATGGAAGTTAATGATTGGATTATTACTTAAGCGTTGATTAAAGTACTCATTTCTATTGGTGACACTTTATTTAGTTTGCTAATTTTTCTTGCAAATTTAGTCTATGTAGCATTACTTATTGGATTGGATACTTCTACATTTGGATATTTTTCCAATTGAACATTTAATTTGTTAGTTTAGTTTGACATAGTAGTTTAAGAGCCTAAATTTTAAGGGTCATTAATTGTTTGAACAGTCGGATCTGTGGCACTATTTTTTGACATGACTTTTGACATGTTTTTGTGGGCCTTTTTTGGTAATGTAGTTTAACGATTTGAATCGTCTATTTTTTATATCTTCCCTCAAAGATCATGTCTTCCAAAATCACCCAGATTTGAAACCATATGATCATTGAATTAAGTGTTTAGGGTTTCTTTGCAGTACTGTACTCATTCATTTTTCTTCACTAAAAATGAATTTCTTAATGGTTTTGGTTTGTCTAATTTTTTGCAATGATGATCTATAAATGATGTTTTAAAAAATAAAAGGTTTGGATTGTTAAAATACATTATGGAGTGGGCCCTATAAAAATTTGTTTCAAAAATAGTATAAAAAAAGTGGTGTGACCAATCCACCATCTTATTTGAAATGATCAAATATTTCAGTAGTATATCAACAACATCTCGCCAGCATTTAATTTTACCAGGTTTACAATTAAAATTTGTAATTTAATTGTTTCAGCCAGTTTTTTAAAATTTTGTAAATCAAACAACCATATAAAACCACAAAAGCATCAAACATAATTCACAATATGTACATTTTTTTTATTCAAGCCTCGAATTTTTCCTTTTTTTCTTTTTCCTTTTTTTCTTTTTCTTTCCTGGAATTGACAAGTACCATCTTAGATGCTCAACCAGAAAGCAAGAACACAGCTCACAAAGGGAAAGCATAAGCAGGGAAGCAAATAAGAGGAGAAGAAACCACAAATCACATGAACAAAGCTAATGAATTACGCATAGTCCTCAGATTGTGGGACTGGGGCATAGGACGCAATGAAAATGTCACCATAGACTAGCCCGGCAAGCCCACCACCAATAAGTGGCCCGACCCAGTAGATCCAAATATTTGAATAGCTGCCGCTGGCCACTGCTGGGCCGAACGATCGGGCCGGATTCATTGAGCCCCCGCTGAAGGGGCCAGCAGCGAGAATGTTAGCGCCAACAATGAAGCCGATCGCTATGGGCGCTATGGTTCCCAGTGAACCCTTCTTGGGGTCTGCAGCTGTAGCATAGACTGTGTAGACGAGAGCAAAGGTTATGATGATCTCAAACACCACACCTTCAATAGCACCTACTCCTGCACCGAGTGCATGGGTTGGAACATCCTGCCAAATACAAAGACATATAAGAATCACGTTCTATCAGACAGTCTAACATATTATATTGTTAGGATGTCGACTGGAATGATCAATCATTTGAATTCTTAACAATATGTAATTCAGATTGATAATCATTTTCCTTCTATCTAACGTGTCAAACGAGTATGAAATTTGTTGAAGGAAATATTATATAATACCAATTGAGTAACAAACTTGACGAGAAAGCTAGCAACGATGGAGCCCAAGAGTTGGGCAATCCAATAGAAAATGCCAGTGAGGATGGTGATGTTGCCTCCGATGGCCAATCCAAATGTAACAGCTGGATTCAAATGGCCACCTGAGATGTTTGCAGCGATGGAAACCCCCACAAACAGCGCAAATGCATGGGCAACGGCAATCGCTACTAGCCCCGCAGGATCCAAGGATGCATCTGTGAGCTTACCTGCATACACATAAAAAAATAATTTAATTGGCTTGAAATTAAACACTTTAATTATGAAATAGTTAATCAAGTAATTACACTACTAAGTTGTAACAAACTTTTGATCATATTAGTTTCAGCATATCTGAAACTACATGATTTTTTATATGAATCATTAATCTGATTAATTTTGTCTAATGGTTTAAATTCACGGTTGTAAATTTACAACATACACAGTTGTTCAACTATATTTACTTTTAACATAGGTTAACCTTTATAACCATAGCCCGTGCCATCTTTTTATTTAACTGGTTTGGACAAGTAATCTCTCGTGCAAGTAAATTTATTAAAAAAAGCTTCATCAGTGCAGTCTTGCGGTGTGCTATTATAAGAGAGTGCGTGCACATAAACGCTCGGAAAACTTTATCGACGCTATTTTAACATTTCAACACACAAAAGATCATGAACGCATGATTGTGAGAGTTGTTGACACACGTTTTAGCAAGTCTACCACGCATGATGATTGATGTTAAAAATTATGATATATAGTAATTATGACGAGTGCAAATTAATAATTAAGCACAGTTAATTACCGTAAGCAACTGCGGATCCAACACCAGCAAACACAAAAACAAGGGTGGCAATGAACTCAGCTATGTAAGCCTTGAGGGAGCAAACACTAAAAGAGTCACCAAAGCTACCAAAAGCTAGCTTCACCATTTTGTCACTAGAAAAACCAGGAAGAGAAGCAAAGAGTGTAATTTAGAAACTTAAACCAGCTGCAGCTGCTAATTCAGTTTAATTAGTGGCTTAATTACACATTCTTTCAGCATGATCAACTATATATAGTGGTTAGTGACTGTCGATAGTAGTAGGTTATGCAACTCTGCGGGCGCCAACCGTGTGGGACCCGAATGAGTAGCTGGCATTGTCCGATTGGGTCCAAATGAGTCGCTGGCATCGTTCGATTGGATGCCGACCGACCGCCAGATAATTGTTTTTTAGGAATAGAGTTTATGTCATATAATAGGGGCATTATGAAGATAAGACAACTACATTAATTACTAGTTTTAATTAATTAGTGAACCGACATTGTATATTATAACTCTTTTGAGGAGATAAGCATGTTTATTCCGATGGAATATACAAGAATTTCATGAGCACCACGACATAGTATATTTTGATTTAATTTTGGACGTGCAATGTCATTTTCCTAGGAACTTTTAGATTTAATATGTTGTAGGTTATGATGATTGAATAAATAACAATGTTGTTAATCAAAACTCTCTTCAATGCACCGAAAAATATGTCATATTTGATTTTAAATTTACTCACTCTTTCTAATGCTTCATAAAAATTGAGGTTATGAGTTCGTTAGGAAATGCTTCTAAATTAGCTAAAAGCAGTTTTAGTGAAAATATTTTTGGAACCTATTCTTAGTAAAAATGTAAGTGAATTTTGGAAAAACAATTAAAGTGATTCCTACAAAAAGCAGATGACTGGTGCTTCTTGCAGAAAACACTTTTGAGTGATTTTAGAACCTAAAAACATTTCGTCTAAAACCGCTTTCAGTCGTTTTAAAAGTACTTCCAAACAAGTCTTATATATGACATTGGTGCTATATCTAAAGTCACATTTGAATTTGGGTATATTTCTAGAGTTAATTTTTGGATCCCCACCTCAGAAAGATACGAAAATTATATTTAATTCTAAGGTTGGCTAAGGTTGAGTTTGGTAAAGCATTTACAAGAATCACCTGTTGATCAAAACTTAAGGGCAAAACTGTGAAAAGCGCGCGGTAATATCGACCTTGAGGAAAATTTGTTTTCCATTGCCAAAGAAATTGAAACAAGAACCTCAGAATAGAAAACCATTATTTGAAAACCTATCAATTTTTATCAGCCCAAAATAATTGTTACCCATATCCATGATAAAGATTAACACCAGCCTTTTAAGATCAGTCCTTACAAAAGTGATCTGGTTCAAACATGCATGGGATTTTTTTAGAAGATTCTAGGATGTGAATATGCTAGAAAACTCTAGCAAGGTGCAGCAACAAAGGTAGCAAGATGGAAAAGCCAAGTCCAACGCTAAGAAAATCTTGAAAAATGTCTTTATTTGTAGAAAACTCTAGAACAAGTGAACAACAACTTATGGCTAGGATAAAAGGAACCCAATTCCACCTAGTAAGTCGGTTTTGCATATGTATAAATATAAGGTGTGGTGCTAAGTAAGAAACCACCCAATCAAGAAACTAAGAAAGTAAGAGAGTAGCAACCAAAAAGAGCAGCAAGAAAATAACTTAAAAGTGAGTGTGGTCTAGAGTGTGTTTCTAGAAAGAGAGAGTGTCATATCTTCTAAAGTGTGTCTTTAAGAGTTTTTGTGTTGTAAAATTTTGTGAGTGTAATACAAGTAATTTGTTACTTGTTTTGTCTCTCCAACACTTGTGTCAAAGTTGTGTACTCTAATTTTCCTCAACAATTGGTATCAGAGTGATACAATTAGGGATCAGCTCTAATGAAGTTTTTGAGAACTATGCAAAGTTTAGTACTTCACAAAATTGTTGGCTAATCTTGTTCGGCATATTGAAGCTCTATTGACACGATGAATGATCGTCAAGTTGTTGGAGGAATCAAGAAGTTGAACAACACAAATTACAACACATGGGCGACATGCATGGAGTCGTACCTACAAGGCCAAGATCTTTGGGAGATCATTGGCTGTAATGAAGTTACGCAACTGGAAGAAGACACTAGCAGCACTTTGCGTAAGTGGAAGATCAAGGCAGTCAAAGCCATGTTTGCCCTAAAAGCTACGGTTGAAGAGGACATGTTAGAGCACCTAAGGAAAAGCAAAACATCAAAAGAAACATGAGACACATTCGCCACACTCTTTTCAAAGTGGAACGATACAATATTGCAACTTCTTGAGAATGACCTGTTATCAGTGGCCCAAGGGGACATGATGATTGCACATATTTTCATAAGGTAAAGTCTATTTGCCATGAAATTTCTAAATTAGATCCTAGTGTTGTCATTGTAGAATCTAGGATAAAAAGAATAATTATTAATGGGTTGAGACTCGAATACCGAAGCTTTGTTGCTTCGTACAAGGATGGCTGACCCAACCATCACTTGTTGAGTTTGAAAATTTGCTTGCCGATCAAGAAGCTTTTGGCAAAGCAAATGGGAGGGGTCTCGACAAAAGGTGAAGAGGAAGCGCTCTACACCAACAAAAGTAAAGGCAGCTTCAAGAAACATGTTGGTGAAGGATCTAAAATAAATGGTAGCAAGTTGACAAGTCATTGGACGGAGGAGAGTTCTCGGCAAGGGGTGGCTCCAAAGTATCATAGCAATTATGGTTAGTCCCAGAATAATATGTTTGAGAGAAAAATGCTACAACTGTGGAAAGAAAGGCCACATGGCGAAGAATTTCTGGTTCAAAAGGTATGTAAAGAGTAATGTTGCCACTTGCAGCTTAGAGAAGAAAAGTGAAGATGATTGGGATGCCGTAGCATATCACCATAGAGGAAGAATGAGACGCAGAAACATCTTCTTATTGGTGGTCAAAAAATGCAGTGTTGCCTGACTCGAGATAGATTCAAGATACGTTGCAGGAGAAAATAAGAGAACAAACTGCCCAAATTCAATCAAGTCCATATGAGCCTGAGGATTTGCTTGATGGTGACGATGTTAAGCAAGAAGTGCCTCATAATCCTATAGAACCGGCATGTACCAACAACCAGAAGAAGATAGACCTAGTGAAGGGGAAGTATCAACTCCACAATCATAACTAAGGAGGTCAACGAGAATACCAAAGCTAAATCCCAAATACGCCAACACAACCATAGTAGAAGAAGCAGTTGAAGCTGAGATGCGTAAAGAAGTGTCACAGAATTGCGAGTGGCGTACAACTGGGTGAAGCCAAGAAATGTGAAACCTATATCTCGTAAATGGGTGTTCAAGATAAAGCATCCACTCAGCGTGGAGAAAAGAATGAGCTGGTGTTGAAGGGGAGTGTTAAAGATCAACACCAGCCCAATAAGATCAGTCGGTACAAAAGAACTAAATTGGTCTGGTTCAAACATGCATGGGATTTTTCTAGAAGATTCTATAATGGGAATATGCTAAAAAACTCTAGCAAAGTGCAGCAACAAAGGTAGCAAGATGGAAAAGCCAAGTCCACTGCCTTAGGCTAAGAAAATCTAGAAAAATATTTTTGTTTGTAGAAAATTCTAGAACAACAAAAACTTATGACTAGGATGAAATGAACCCAATTCCACCGACTTAGTAAGTAAGTTTTGCACAAGTATAAATATAAGGTGTGGTGCTCAGTAAGAAACCAACTAATCAAGAAACTAAGAAAGTAAGAGAGTAGCAACCAAGAAGAGAAGCAAGAAAATAACTTAGATGTAAGAATGGTCTTTCCAAGGAGTGTGAGTGGTCTAGAGTGTCTCTAGAAAGATGGAGTGTCATAGCTTCTAATGTGACTTTGAGAGTTTTTGTGTTGTAGTATTTTGCGAGTGTAATACAAGTAATTTGTTACTTGTTTTGTCTCTCCAACACTTGTGTACTCTAATTTTCCTCAACAATCCATACACACCTCGCATGAACAAATAACGGTCCTGCTCAAGTTTAAATTTTTCTTAAAAAAAGAAAAATATGAATTGAGGCGTTGGGAATTAGAAAACCAAATCTGAAAATACTAGAAAGGCAAAATACATCAATGTGGCTGGGCTTAACGATGTGGATGCCGACAATGAAGAGGGTGCGAGTGAGCTGATCAAACAACAAGAATGCCGAAACGGTTATAAAATCCTTAGATGCTACATCATGACAAACTTATTCTACAAAGCTACGAAACATTATATTTCGGTTTTTTTTATTTTTTTTTATCACAAATGGTCCCTGAAATTGAAAATCAATCAATGTAATTCCTGAGAAGGGATGTCACAAATCAATGTGATTCTTCCATCACAATTCTATTAAAAATTCCGTTAAGTGCTGATGTGGCACATAAATGGGCTCCACAAGATTTACAGGTTTTATTACAAATGGTCTTTGAAATTAACCCACACCATCAAGATGATCTTTGAAATTGAAAATCCATCAATGTAGTCCTTAAAAATAGGTGTCGCAAATCAATATAATCATTTCGCCACAATTCTGTAAAACATTTTGTTATGTGCTGATGTGGGTTTAATTAGACTTGACATTCATGTCGTGTTTCTCGCGTTTGTGTCATACCCGATAGTTTAACAGGTCGTGTCGTGTAACACCCGTTAAAATAAACAGATAATATGACCTGACCCAAAATCAACCTGTTAATATTATCAAGTAATATGATCTGACCCATTACTCGTTAAGAAAAATATATTTTAAATCAATAAATAATGAAAATGAAAAACATAATTTGACCTAAAAAAATGTAAAACATAATAATAAACTAGTATATGCATGCCACATTTTCACATAAATATTACTTCAAAACATAAAATAAAAAAAAATAAAAAACATTTGTCTTTCAAATTTACATACCCCAAAATAAGAGCCTAATGAAAAAACATTGGTCATACTACAAAATACAAATGTTCAAAGATATGCAAAATGAAGAGAGTTGTGTTTCAAGGTTGAGGAACCTTGCACGTTTTTGACAATAAAACACTTCAATTTAAAAAATCACCAAGGGAAATGATATTGGAATTTTGGCTTGATATATTGTCTTTAAGGGTTATATTGACGATATTTTCACTAAGGTTTTCTGACACACCCCGTCCCGAAGGAGGGCATGCTGGCCGTCACG